ACGACGACGACGACGACGACGACGACGACGACGGTCGACGACCGACGACGACGACGATAGACGACGATGACAACAGTCGATGTCGCCGATCGACGACGGCCACGCCGACGGCGGCGACGCTGTCCGCGTGCGCAGAGCCACCCTGGACCCAGTCCTTTCTGCGTCGTTCGAAATCCTGCCCCCGGAAGCGTCTCCGGGAACATGATTTCAGGAGGAGGAAGAGGAAGAGGAAGAGGAGGCATAGGTGGAGGAGGAGGAGGAGGAGGACGAGGACGAGGACGAGGACGAGGACGAGGACGAGGACGAGGACGAGGACGAGGACGAGGACGAGGACGAGGAGGACGAGGACGAGGAGGAGAGGAGGAGGAGTGGGCGGGAGGGCTCGGGGCCGATCGACGATCGGCGACGGTGATCGGCGACGGTGATTGACGATGACGAGGACGGTCGTCGACGGCGACGACCGACGACAACGACGACGACGACGATGGACGACGATGACAACAGTTGACGCCGCCGATCGGCGAACGGCGACGACGACGACGTCTTCACAGTGCCACCCCGAGGAGCCCCAAGACGGCCCAAGAGGGACCCAAGATGACCCATGAGAGCTACAAGCCAGCCCAAGAGAGCCCCAAAAGGCACCCAACAGAGCCGCAACGGGGGCGAGCAGAGCTGCCTATAGAGATTCTTGGGAGGCCTCTTCCGAAGCGTCCGAAATCATGTTCCCCGGAGCCTCTATCGGAACATGATTTCTGGGTTCCCAGGGCGCCCGAGGGGGCCCTAAGACGGCCCCGACAAGTCCTAAAAGGACGCCCGAAACAAAAAAACGGAGGGGCGCAGTTCGCCGATTTCCGCGACATGTTGTTGGATTTCTTGCACGCGGAGGAGGTGGGGGAGGAGGAGGAGGAAGAGGAAAGGAGGAAGAGGAGATGGACGAGGTGGAGGGGGAGGAGGAGGAGGAGGGGGGGAAGAGAAGGGGGCGGGGGGAGGAGGAGGGAAGAGGAATGATGACGATGATGATGCTGATGATGATGGTGATGATGATGGTGGTGATGGTGATGATGATGATGATGATGATGATGATGGAGAGGAGGAGGAAGAGGAGGATTGAGGAGGTGAGGAGGAGGAGGGAAGGAGAAGGAGGAGGAGGGGAGGAGGAGGAGGAGGAGGAGGGCGAGGAGGAGGAGGAGGATGCAGGAGGAGGAGGAGCAGGAGGAGGGGAGGAGGATGTGGAGGAAAAGGAGAAAAGGAGGAGGAAGAGGAAGAGTGAGGCCTCCCCCGAGTGTTCCCCTTATCCGATGTGGCCCACTGCTTGCGCGGCGTCGCAGTGCCGTTTGGCGAGCCATGTAGTCTGAACGGGAGGAGGAGAAGGAGCATGATAAGGAGGAGTGAGAGGAGGAGGAGGAGGAGGGGGAGGAGGAGGAGGAGGAGGAGGAGGAGGAGGAGGGGGAGGAGAAGAGGAGGACGAGGAGGAGGAGGAGCGGGAGGAGAGGAGGAGGAAGAGAGGAGAGGAGGGAGGAGGTGGGGAGTGAGGGGGTGGGAGGAGGAGGAGGAGCATGAGAAGATGAGGATGGTGATGGCGATGGTGATGGTGATGGTTGATGATGATGAGGAGGGGAGGAGGAGGAGGAGGCGTGGAGGAGGAGGAGGAGGAGGAGGAGGAGGAGGTGGAAGAGGAGGAGGATGAGGAGGAGGGAAAGTAGGAGGAGAAGGAGGAGGAGGCGGAGAGGAGGAGGAGGAGGGAGGATGAGGACGGGAGGAAGGGGGCGGAGGAGGAGGAAGGGGGCAAAGGGGGGGCGATGGGGGGAGGAGGAAGAGTAGGAGGAGAGGAGGAAGAGCAGGGGGAAAGAGGAGGACGGGGAAGAGGTGTCGTTTTCGGCCGCCTTGGGCCGCCTGGGGGTGAGGAGCACCCGAAAGCTTTTCGAACCACGACCGCGAAACTCGACGCATAACCGAATTCCATTCAGCCTTCAACCTCCTCGTCCGTTGTTTGGCCGTTGCCCCGGACGAAGCTAGAACCTAAGCGCGCGCGTAGCGCGCGCGTGGGTCTAGTATATATATATATATATATATATATATATGTACACATTTCAATTGGCCAACGGGCTGGCTTTCACGCGATTTTGTGATGGCATGTTGACCAAGCAATTGCCAATTTCACCTCTGGGCATGCACATTCAAACGTCGCCTAGGGCATGGTTTGTGTAAGGTATGCTGTAGCCGTTTGTTCCTTTGGTTCTGCTCGACTACGCTGCGCAACACGACTTTCAAGTTTGCCATCTCCCGTCGGGCCACGCCATATTCAGTTGCCAGGGGGTCATTGCAAGTATCGTCGCCATTCACGCGACACCGTCGGGTGGCTTTCCGCAATTGGACATCCTCGAGCGGCCTCTTCAAATTTGATAGGCACATTAGGTACCCTTTGCTGAACGACCCCTTCAAAGTCGGAGAGCTCACTGGATGGCATCTTGGCTGAACGCTCCCCCGCCCTCTCACAGGGATGTGCTGGCTTCAAGTTTTCAGGGGGGGAAGTGCCCTGTCGCGCGACTTACAATTTTGCCTCGTCCACCACGGCAAAACTTGTCCGTTTTTGTGGTGACCCTCTGATCTTCGGTTGAGGGAGCATAGGGGTGAGACAATTTCGGGTCGCAGGGTTCGCTGATTGTTGTTTCCACCGTGCTCTCGTGAGAGCGCTTGCCACAGCTATCTTTTCGGGCTGTCGCCGCCAGGCTCTTTGCCGCGGAAGCGCGGTGGGTAATGCCTAGGGACGGCCGCCAAAAAGGATCCCCAAAGCAAAAAAGTCCTGGGGGCCGCGAAGGGCAGGTATTCCAACAGCTTCACTTGGGTGGCGCCGACGCAGAAATCCATCGCGGACTCGCGAATAATGGTTTCGGTTGCGCGCCGCGCGCTTGTGTTCTCCTTGGTGGGGCTTAAGGAGCCGGCTGGTTCTGCCTAGGCTTTGTCCTGCAGCGAAGGCGTTTGGTGCCTTGCTGGCGGCGCAACAAGAAGCCGTGCCGTGTGGCCCGAGCCTGCTTTTAATCGCGCCCTGTGCGCCCGATGTGCATACATAGTTGCATGCTCAATGTTGTGAACGTATGTGTATATTTACAGTTGTATGTGTATATATATATGTACATGTCTGTATATGTATACACATATATTTTGATGTGTGTACGTATCGGTGCAGATCTGCATGCATATATGCATGTATGTCTTCCTGTCTGCCTGCCTGTCTGCCTGCCTGCCTGCCTGCCTGTATGTATGTGTGTATGTTTGCCTATGTAGATGTATGTGGGTATATGTCAGTCTATGTATATACGTCTGCATGCCGGTATCTATACAACTGCTGGTGTATATGCAACTAGATGTATACGTGTATGTGGGTAGATATAGACAAGATGTACTACCTGTAGACGTACATGTCTAAACCAGCTGGAACCAGGGAGGGCGCATCTGGTGCGATAGAAGGTATGGTTGGGTCGCATCGCGCTGTTTCCCGTTGCGTCGCCAGCAGTGGCCCAGGCGCATCCGGCAAGATGAAACATAGTGCACGGGCATCATCGTCGGAGTCCTGTCGCAGCTCCACCGAGAGCGTGCGTGGGCGCTATCCTCAAGCCCGCGGGTGCGGAAGGCTGCGCTTCGGGAGTAGATGAGGCTGAGTCTCGTCGCAACTCGTGCAACTCAGCCTGGTTGCCTTCGAGGGTAGGTACTCGTTTTGCGGACCCTTCGAAGTTGACAGGTGCATTCGGCTCGCTTTGCTGAGCAGCCCCTTCAAAATCGAAGGGCTCACTGGGCTCTGGGCTGAACGCCCCTCCCCCCGCCCGCGCACCTGGATGCGCTGGCCTCCACCTTTCTGGAGGGCGGGGGCAAGTTGCGTGCCTGCGAGGGGCTCCCCGAGCCACTGACCGCCGAGGCCGTCTGGTCTGGCCTAGGGCGGCCCGTCATCGTCATCGTCATCGTCATCGCTTACTGGGGATGGAGAGACTGTCCAGGTCCTTCTCTGGTGGGCACGCGCGGGGGGGGCGGCGGCCGCAGCAGCCGACGCCTGGCTCGATCCGTTGCGTGGTGGGCCCCTGCGCGTCGCACGTCAGGCCAGGTTCTCCTCTCCTCTCCGGGGCCTAGCTAAGGTCTCGGCGCCGAGCGAGGCGTGAAAGTGAGAAGGGGCGGGCCTTCTCAGAAGGCTCTGAAGTCTCCCAGCCTTCTGAGAAGTTCTCTAGGCCGTCCCCGGAGAGAAAACAACTTCACAGAAGGCCGGAGGCCTTCCGAGAAACCCCGCCGCTTTCTGAGAAGGCCTTCTCGTTCTCAATTCCCCCCCTCACTCGCCGCCAATAAAGTCGTATAGAAGTCACCATGCCTTGGAGCAAATCGTGACAGGAGCCCTCGACGCCATCGTTGTGCGAACTTTCCTGGACCCGACCGATCCTTGACGTGCCGACGGGACCAGGACATCTGCTGCGATTTTTCTCACGACGTCAGGATGGCGGGGCGCTCCTTTTCTAGTCGGTGGTTTCCATCTCCGGCGGGCGCTTTTCCCATTCGCCCGTCCACCCCTGCTGTGCTCTCGAGCTGCACGCCGCACGCCAGCGGGAGCGCTACGGTCGGCCACGTGTGCAGTCGGGCGGATCGAGCCTTGCAGCATCTGGGGCAGTGCGCAGCACGGGTAAGTCTTGCAGAAGTTTCAGAATGCGGCCTCGCCGCGCACCTGCCGCAGTGGCGGGGCACCCTTACACACGACCTGCCAATCGTACCCTAGCGGATGGCCTCCACATTGACCTTCGGTGGGCGGCGCGATTGCCGCTTTGTCCTGATCTACTGCGACCGATCGCCCCCTTCCGTGGCCGAGGCCTCCCTGGCCGAGTGGAGCAGTGCGCTCTGGCGGGTCGCCGTGTTGGCGGTCTGCGACGGCCGCGCCGCGCGCACCATGCGGTTGCCCTCGCCTGTGCCGACCCCCCCCGCCCCCCGCAGCCCACCCCGGTCTCCCTTCCCTCCTGCGGTCCGAGGTGGGCCGGAGCGCGCGGGACTGCGCGGAGCGCTTCCGCGAGTGCCGCAGACAGGCGCCCGGGGCCCGCCCCCCGCGCCGCGGCAGGGACTTCCTGGCAAGGAGGGTGGGGGAAGCGTAGCGGCGTGGGGATCGGGGCAGGAGCACGGCCCCCTTTCAGGGATTGGGATGGTTGCAGAGATGAGGTCAGGGCCCACGACGAAGCCACCTGCTGCTCAGACGCCCCTGGGACTTGCCATCAGGGCGGTGAGTGCCGTCAGGCCCATCGCGCCCGAGTGCGGTGCAGGTGCCTGGCTGGCCAGAGCGCCCATTGGCGCCACCTCGTTTCTTAAGGCATCGTGGTGCGACAACACCCGCCAGCTGCGGCAGGTCCACAGACACCAGAGATGCTGGTCGCCGGAGCTCCAACAGTTCACGCTTATGCCGCTTTTCCTCATCTAGGCAGGGGAGATCTGACGCGACCGCACCTGCCTTGACCCCCTCTCCGAACGCTGCGCTGGAGGTTCTGAGCCGCAAGTCCAGCGCCGGGCCCGAGGCCGACGGCGAGGAGGACGACGGCGAGCCGCAGCCCCCGGCGCCGCAGCCTGCGCCGGCCGCCACCACGGCTTGGAGCTGCGGGGTGACGTCTGGGAGGGATGAGGAGGAGGAGGAGGAGGAGGAGGAGGAGGAGGAGGAGGAGGAGGAGGAGGAGGAGGAGGAGGAGGTTAGGAGGAGGTTAGGAGGAGAAGGAGGAGGATGAGGAGGAGGAGCGGTGGCGACGTTCGAACTAGATCTTGAGGTTAAGACGTCGGCAGTTTTTGAGGTCAGGCTTAGCATGTCATTGCTGTGCTTTGACGTTGTCAAGTGTGGAGTTTTGAAGCGTGGAGTTCTCTTGCCGAAAGATTCCACCGACGGCGACGATTACGATTATGATTCGACTTGCTGGCGAGAGCTTCGGGGCTCCACCTCAATCTGCAGAAATCGGTGGTCATACCGCTTTGGGAGTGGCCCCTGGACGCGGCCGCGCAGGAGTGGAGCAATCGCATGCCAGAGTGGAGCAGCATGCTGGTTTCGCACAGTGGCTCATACTTGGGCTTCCAGGTCGGCGCAGGTGAGGATGCTTGGGCGGCGCCAGTTAAAAAGTTTAGGGAGACCGTAATTGCTTGGGCGGAGCGGGGGTGGGGGATGTGCCTCACCGTGCTGGCCTACAACACGTACATACTCGTTAAATTGATGTATGTAGCACGACTTCAAGGTTGCTTCAAAGACTGGCCAGCCACAGAGGTATTGGCTCTCCAACGCCTCTTCCCTGGCCCGGCTGGGTGGCTACCGAGCTCGATCGCGCTGTGCATGCAGGACGAGTTGGGCATGCCGACGCAGCTACACTCGCTGACCACCGCCGGCGGTCAGCAGCTGCGCCCGCCTGCGGTTGCAGCCGCCGCGGGCCCACCCGCGCGGCAGGCTGGCCAAAATCTCGACGCCTGGGATGTCGAGTGGCGATGGGCTGCCTGGTTTCGCCACGGGCCGGCGCAACGGCTGCTGCAGGCTCAGGAGGCTCTCGCGCGCGACGGGATCACGGCCAACACCGTTCTGGAGGCCTCCCTGGGGGCTACCCCCCGGCCGGTCACAGCAGGGCGTTGGCGACGAGCGCGCAGAACGCTTCAGTCGACGGCCGCGCGGCTTCTGAGGCAGCGGCTGTGGCTCCTCAAAGGCCATTGGGGTTTCCGGCGGAAGCTGAAGCAGTGGAGCTTGGGCCCCTTGGAGGGCCGGCGCGTGCTGGTTTGCAAGAGGGTGATGAAGACACTGCCCAAGCGGCTCGCCCCTCGAATCCGCGCTTCCGTCCTCCGCACCTGGCTGGACGGGTGGTGCACGGCTCGGCGCTTGGGCTCGCGTGGGCATGCCTGCCGGTTGGGGTGCGCCGCAGGCGAGGATTGCCTCCGCCATTATGTGCGCTGCCCGGTCCCGTGGGAGTTCGGTTCGCGCCATCTCGGCCTGCATGACCCAGGGAACTCGGACGGGCGCGCGCAGGCATTTCTGTTGTGGGAGACGGGGTGCTCGCAGGAACGCCTCGTGCAGTTGGCGACGCTCGTGGCCGTCGCCTACCAGACGCACAACATCCTCCGGCATCGCTGCGGCGGCCCGCTTCAGGCCCGGTAGCTCCTCGTCCAGGTGCTGCGGGAGATACGCGCGCAGACTGGGGCGGGCGAGCTTTGAGCGCAAGGCTTCTGATTTGTTTCTCATGAATTCAATCCCCTTTTCCTCCTCCTCCCCCTCCGTCCCTCCCCCCGCCGCATGTGTAATTCAGTGCATGTCGGCCCCATCGTAGCTGGACCTCCGCAGGTCCGTCCGGCTCGCGGCCTTCTGGGCGGCCTCCTTTGGTCCGCTGTCCCGTTGGCTTGGCGGCCCTGGGAGCGTATATTGCATATTACCTTGGTTGGTTTTGCACTGTTTCACTCATCGCATTGATCGGGGTCGTGCGCGTTTCGCGTCTCCTTTTCCTTCTCCTCCTCTTCCTCCCCTCCTCCTCCTCCTCTCCTCTCCGCCTCGCCCTCGTGTGTGCGATGTGGAACGTACCAACGGCTGTCTATCTAGGCCTCGGGGGATACAGGCGCATGAGACACCCCGTTCCTCTGTTTGGTTAACTTTCTCAGGGTGTAAGCGTCCAGCCGGTAGGGCTGGGATGATGTAAAACAATTCGTAGTGGCTGTAAGTGAGGAATAAAACGCCTCTCAAATGCAACCGTTCTTTTTTCTGCGTGAGGAGTTCTGAAACCTCTGAACTGGGTCGGCGCTGATCCTCTGTGCACAGAAAAAATACGTAAATGCGGACAACGGCCTGCGCGGATCCTAGACCAGTATATGCACGATTACCCCCAGAACGTGTTAGATTTCCGAATTCTTTCTTGGATTCCAAAGAATGTCGTGTTGAAAACGCATGTGTTTCTTTTCAAACGGCTCGGGCTGGTGGTGGCGGTAGGGGGAAATATACAAGTGTACCTGGAGACGTCCCTTTGTTCAGGTATGTTCCAATCGAGTCTGAGGAGGCCCGCCGCCAGAGGACTCTGCACGACCCCACCTAAGTGGAGCAGGACGTCGGAATTACCAGCGAGGATTCACCAAGATCATTGTGCCACGTTCTCCGGCAAGAAGATGACCAACCTCGACGGCTTGAAGTTGAAGCTCCTGTTCCTTATCCCAGCTCTGCGCCGCTGCCCTCACTCACTTTTGCAAGACCCGCTACGACTCAGGCGCCTGAGTATACAGATTTTGTTCATGTTTCACAACCAGTATCACTTCTTGAATTTCGAGGACACTGTCGCCGGACATTTCACGCCATTTCCAGCCTCGACGTTGACAGCGTAGAGCCCATCAGAGTCGCGACTGACATGGAGGCTCCTTCGTCTGCGTCCAGTACTCAATCTCATCTCAAGACGACAGCGACAAATTTGCATACAGGTACCCTCGCCGAGGGTAGATGCCATTCTACGAGAGGGGGGGGAGAGGATTTCTGAACGAAGTTTGTGGAAATGTGCCGCTAAGCGTTGCAAGACACGTTCCGTTGACTGTTTTAGAACAGCCGGTGCAGATGGTGAGTGTTCAGCGCCGCTGGCCGTATCTGCGCGCGACACGACCGCTCATGGATTCGAACACAATGCAGATGTCTTGCATATTTGGCACACGAACGTCAGGATCCTCACTACTGATGACCGCATCGCTGAACTTATGCGCGAAGCTCGTGGGATCCAGTGGGACTTCATTTGCATGAAAGAGACATGTCGCGCAGAAGAGCACGAGCATTTCGAATTGCCAGACGGATGTATTTTTTTCTGGCAGCGGGTGGGGCCATGTTTCACGAGGAGTGGCAATCGTCATGCACAAGCGGTGGGCAAAGCACGCGCATGGTTTCATGAGAATTTCTGCGAGGGCGGCGTTCGTTGATATCGTGTGTCGGGGACTCTAAGTTCGATTAGTTACTACTTAGTTTCCACACTGTGGTTACGAGAATTCGCATGTTCAGGATCTGTATTCTGTTTTGGGAGCTTTGCGGGATGATGCCACAAAGCTTCGCATGAAGTTCATTGTTGCGTCGGATTTCAATGTCGAGGTTGGCAGCTACGCGGATGGGGGCGACGGACAGTCTGCATGAATGCGTGGGCGCGGCGCCCAGAACAGCAGGGGGCAGTGGATGATAGCACGGCGTGGGTAGAACCGTTTGGCGATCACGAGCGCGTGTGTTGATGAACGTCCGGAGCAGAGGCGCGCGTTCTACAAGACAGGCGCTCGGTTCCGACAGTTGGATTATATGTTGTGATGTGGGGGCGCGGCCTGATGTTCTCGATTGTTGCGCCGCGGGCGAAATAGATGCGGGCTCTGACCATTCGGCGGTTCATTGCAACATCAATGCCAAGGGCGCGCAACGACGCCGGCGGGATCGCAAGGCCAATGCGCATGTGGATTGGGCCCAGGTGGACCGCCATTATTTCCAGGCAAATGTCTCGACGAAGCTGTTTGACGACGCCATCCCGGAGGGCGCGAGCGAGAAGCTGGAGTTCGCGGAGCATGCTTTCTGGGGCGCTGCCGCGCAGGCTCGTTTCAAGAGTGACCGTGAGAAAAGACCGCCGATGACGACGATCTTCGAACTCTGATCGAAGGAAGGCGGAGGTCGCGGCCGGCTGGGGCGAGCAGGCGGACCGAGCTGAGCAAGAATATTCAGAAACGACTTCGCCCGCCGCAGGTCCAGGGCCGACTCGGAGATCAATGTCATTCTGGAGAAGTTTCGCGGCTTTCCGAGCACCCCGCGCATCGAGGCCATCCGCAGGAAGACGCCCGTCCCCAGCATGAGAGACCAGAGCGGTGTTGAGAGCGCGTCGCGGCAGAGCATCGCCGACATGTTTTGCTGTTTTTTTCATTCGCAACTGCATTCTTCGGCGCGCGGGGCACCGCGCGCGCCGGCCCCTCCCGCAGCGTCGCCGGCGCCGCCCTTCACGTTGAACGAGTTACGAGTGCAAATCGAGAAGCTCAAGGCTGGTCGTGCCAAAGACTCTGCTGGAATCGTCGCCGAGATGATCGAATTTGGAGGGCCGTATTTGGAGCGCGTGTTATTTGATTTGCATAACCAGATCACTGCGCCAGAGGCGCCCCCCCCCCCCCCCCAAAGCTTGGAAATAATATGCGCTTCTTGTCATCTATAAGTCAGGTGATGCAGCCGATGCGAAGAACTACCGCCCCATAACAATCATCCCTTTCTTGTGCAAGGTGTTGACAAAACTGCTGCGCGCGATTGTGCCCAATGCTCGACGCTTCTCAATGTAAAGGCCAAGCTGGTTTCGGGGGCGATTTCAGCACGGCGCGCCGTCTCTTCGCTTTTTCGATGCGGCAAGAGAAATGATGTGAATTCCAGCGGCCAGCGTGGATAGGCGCGCTTGACTTCCGGAAGGCGTTCGATTACATTGAGTCGGACAGTTTGCTCCGGCGCTGCGGCGGCAGGGTGTTCCAGATCAGCATTTGCAGCAATTGCAGATGTTGTATTTTGGGGCAGTCAGCGCGAGTGCGCACGGGCGAGATCAGCAAACAGTTCTCCATCCAACGCGGCAAAAACAAGGTGACCCTCTCAGCTCTTTGCTGTTCAACGCGCTGTTGGAGAATGCCGTGCGAACCGTGAAGGCTACATGGGGGCGACCACGTTGAGGGCTCAAGTTGGGGCCGGCCCGTTGGATCACAAATGCACGGTTCGCTTGCGATGTTGCGTTGATTGGCGCGCCCTTGCACCAGATCCAGAAAGGGCTGCAATGCGTCCACGCCGCCGCTTGGGAGAGGAGCCTGGAACTACACCTGGGCAAGACAAGGGCTCTGAGCAACACCGCTTTGCGCGCAGGGCGACCGCAGACTACGGCTGCGACAGTTGACGTTTTTTCTATGAACTTGTTTCATTTTCAGGGTCTTGGAAGCACCTGCGGGCGACAGAATTCTTTCGACCGTGCGCGCGAAACCGAGATCGACCACATAAGTTCGACGGCATGAAAGACGTTTCGCGCGCGCAGAGTAGAGCTCGCTTGCAGGCGATGTTCTATCAAGTCCCGTCTACGCCTCTTCGAAAGCACGGTGTCCGCGACGATGTCGCGCGGGTGTGAAGCGCCGTGTCTGACCGAGCCCCTGGGGGACAAGACGCGACGAACTCAACGACGCATGCTCCGAATGGTGATTCGCGCGCCAGGGGGGGGGACTTTCGCAAACCAGAGCCGGAAAACATCCAGCTATGCGCACCCACCAAGCAGTTCCTCGAGCAATGACAGCAGCTGCAGTATTCAAGTTTCTTTGGGGCCTTGGGTTGACTGGATCCGACGGGCGACTCGCAATGCAGGGCGGCACTTACAGCGTCTCCAAATATCCGACTGGGTTACCGCGCATCGGTCTTCAGCGCGCGGCTGGTTGGAACGATTACAGCGCCCGGAGAAGTCTTGGGCTCGCCAGGCTTTTCAATGGCATCCGTCTGAACCGCGTCGCCGGGGACGTCGAGGCAGACAGAAGAAGAGATGGAGAGATTACGCCGAGACCTGTGTGATTTGCTGGCTGAGGGCTGAGGCCCCACCGCGGCGCCCTGTCCAGGGCCGGGCCCTTCCGGGATCCGCTGGCCGCGCTCGCTCGCTCGTTCCTGCTGCTCATCAGCAGGATCGCAAGGGCTGCCGCGAGTATCTTTATAGTGCATCCGTGGGTAGTTGCAGCAGGAGTGTTCGTCTGCATGCATTTGGGCCCCGTGAGCCCTGCCGGTGCGTGACCGCGTAAACTTCCCGCGCGCAGGTTGGCAGGCCTGGACTGGCATGGACAAATAGGGATGGGGGGGGGGCGGGGGGGGGGGGGGGGGGGCGCCGCTGCGACAGGGTGCGGCGAGGCGCTTGCTTCCATCCCTCCCCAGCCCTGCTCTGCTTTCCACATGTCGTCTTTTCTCGTTCTGCGCGACCGGCGGAACGCCCGCAGTGCCCCGCTGCCAGGCGCAGGTGGATAAGCCAAACAACGCTCTTCCCCCACTCTTCCTTCACCGGCGCACGATGGACCCAGCGTTCCTACGTGCGCAGAGAATGTTGCCACCACTTCGATGCGAGAGTGGGCGCGTGGGTGTCCAGACCACGTCTCTCGTAGTATTATTTAAACGCGGTTTGTCGCGCAGCAAACTGGCACTACAAGCGAGCGCGCGCGTTGGGGGGAAGCAGTCAGCGC